GCCCCGCCCCCCCCCTCCAGAAGCGAGTGGCCATCGCCCTGTGGAAGCTTTTCATGCTGGACAGCTACTGATCCGTCGGAAACCAGTTCGGCGTGGGGAAATCCACCGTCGGAGCAGTGCTCATGCAGGTACAGCACTCACTGGCCACTGGGCTGCAAGGAGGGGATGGACCGCCCCAGGGAAAACGGGGGGGAGGAGGCTAAAGTGCCCTGCATGGGAGGGTTCAGTCTGTCCCGGCCATATTACACACCGCTTGCAGCGGCCAGGATCGCAGCGGGGGTCACTTCTGGGAGTGGGGCACGGGGCAGTGCCAGGGAACAAACACTCCTAGTCACCCGGGCACCCCAGTGATTCGTGGTTTGGTGTGTCTATCTGCAGTTGGTCAAGGCCATCAACAGGTTGCTGCTCTGCAGGGTGGTCCACCTCACTGACCTGGACATTGTCATCCAGGGGTTTGGCGCCCTTGGTTTCCCCAACTGCGGGGGGGCCATCGACGGGACGCACATCCCCATCTATGCCCTGGAACACCAGACCTCCCTCTACATTAACCACAAAGGTTACTTCTCCATGATCCTGCAAGCCGTGTCTGACGACCAGGGCCAGTTCACGGACATTGATGTGGGCTGGTTCAGGGACGTGAACATGCCCAGGGAGTTTCGCAACTCCTCTGAGTGCCAGAGGCTGCACACCAGGTCCTTCTTCCCCGACCGTCACATCAGGGTCAGGGACGTGAACATGCCCGTCTGCCTGGTGGGGGAATGCTGCCTACCCCCTATAGCCTGGCTCATGAAGCCCTACATGGGACACCTCAACCCCCCCCAGCAGGCCTTCAATGCCAGGCTCACCAGAGCCCACATTGTGGTTGAGGGGGCCTTCAGCCGACTGAAAGCCTGAATTCGATGCCTCCTCACTGGCCTCGACCTCGCAGAGCACAATATCCCTCCTGTGGTGGCAGCATGTTGTGTGTTGCACAATTTATGTGAGCGGAAGGGGGAGGCTATCCTGCCAGCCTGGATGGCTGAGGCTGACCACATGGCTGGCCAGTACGCACAGCCCTGCACTGTCGCCATCCGGAAGGCCCAGTGGGAAGCCGTTCAGATCCTGGAAGCCCTGCAGGAGAGCTTTCTGGTGGAGGAGGACTAAACTCTCCCTGCATGCCCCACTGGGGCCTTCTTCCACTGTCCCCTCCTTCCCCTTCCTAACCCCCCATCCTAATGTCAAATAAAGACACCTGTTTTGGCAACAAAAATCTCTTTTTATTTTACATAACTGGGGTGGAAGAGGGAGGGGGGAAACCTGGGAGGAGGGAGCTGGAAGGGGGAGGAAGGGGAGGAAGGGAAGGGAAAGCTCAGGGCTTGGGATCCTGCTGGCTTTCCCGTCTTGCAGCACTGCGGGTGTGGGGGCGTCGGGGGGAGTGGGTGTGGAGGGTAGGGCAGGAGGGACAGGGGTGCAGAGGAAGCAGGAGGGGGAGCAGGGGTGGAAGAAAGAGCGAGAGCTGGGGCAGTTGCAGGGGCTGGAGCAGGAGGAGGCAGGAACCTGTCCAACAAGGTCTGGAGGTGGCCTCTGAGGGCAGGGCCCTTCTCCTCCAGCACCTCCAAGCTCTGCTGTCACAGCCACAGCTGCAGGTCCTCCTGGACCCCGTGGTCCTGGGTGCGGAGCTGGTGATCCATGAACCGGAGGTGCCGCCTTTGGTACTCCTCCTCATTCCTGGCT